GGTGGATCTTCTGAGCTCAGGAGTCCGAGACCACCCTGGGCAACATGGGTGAAACCCTGTCTCTACTAAAATACAAAAAAAATTAGCTGGGTGTGGTGGCGTGCGCCTGTAGTCCCTGCTCCTCAGGAGGCTGAGGCATGAGAATTGCTTGAGCCCAGGGGGTGGAGATTGCAGTGAGCCTAGATTGTGCCACTGCACTCCAGCTTGGGCTACAGAGTGAGACTCCAACTCTCTCTCTCTCTCTGTCTCTCTCTCTCTCTCACACACACACACACACACACACACACGCACACAAATGCTGCAGACCCCTTCCTCCCTCGCCATGTGCCAAAGTTGCTTCCCAAGCCATGTGGGGTGGACAAGGACTTCTGAAAAGGCCTTTCTCCTATCCTGGCATCTCAGAGAAATATCCCCATATTAGCAACTGAACATTAAATACACACACACACACACACACACACACACACACACACAAGCAGCATTTTAAAAATCAGGACGCTAAGTACAATGAGTAACAACTACATAAATATGACAGAGAATTAAATACAAAATCCCTTTCAGGCAAAAGCAGATGTTAAAAAGCCATTTTTTAAATGTCATTTAATTCATTCTCCTATCTCCTAGACAGAACCAAACTCAACCTTCAAAAGAAGAACATAAATGATCTCCCTATGCAAACTCCCCAGCTTCTGCCCCAGGAAATCGCGACCAAATGGCTGATGTCAGCTCAGGTTCTCAGTGCTTCTACAAGGAGAGGGCAGAAATCACTGTATTAAGAATGTGCAAGCTGAAGCAATAACTCACATAACACTTGAATAATTACCCATTCATTTTGAATCATTCTGTAATTCCTGTGATAATTTCAAATATGATGAACTCCTTTGACATAATATGAGTATTGCAGGAAGTTTTCCAGGATTCCCATTGTAATTCATCATTAACTGGATGCATGTTCAAATATTACACAGCTCCCTGCTACCTGCTTCTAATAGCAGGAGCAAAGCCACTTCGTTTGCCTACTGGCATGCTTACCCAGTTAATTTCCAAAGATGACACAGTGCCAGCATGACCCAGCCCCCTGTGTGTGCCCTGATGACCTAGTTTAATAAAATCTGGACTCATATCAAACAGATCACAGGTTTAATTCCTGGCTACAGCAGCTACGTAACAGTACATACAAGAGAGTAGTGCAGGGAAAATTGCACAGTCTTATGCACCATTTAAAAATGGACAACAAAGAAGCTTATACGGTTTCTATCATCTTAAGAGAACTGCCCATGTGACATTTACTGACTCCACCACTCCCTTTATCCCAATAACCAACATACTAAAATTCTGGGCTCTGGATCTATGAATTTAAATATTAAAATGTGTTTGGTCCTTTTTTTTTCCTCCTGTGTTTTCTGCCTAATGAAAAAGATGAATTAGGGAAAGGATTAACCTTACCCTACTTCAGAAAACAGACTCTGTGACCCCGGTGCTTCTAATCTATTCTTGAGGATAATTTTAAAGCAGAAAATAAGATGCACACACTGCTGAGTTTCTTCCCATTCTCCAAATCTGAGGTATTTCAATGATTTAGATACTTCTGAATCACAGGACCTTCTTTGATAGAAAAATTTAAAAAAAAAATAACCTTCAGAAATCTCTAAGGTCTCTAGGAAACCAACTGCAACCAACGATCCCCTCACATCTCATTATATGGCACAAATTTAGTTCTAGGATTCCCCTGGCCTTGTTCAGCTGGTGTCCTCTAATGATAGAATTATCTGCTCAATTTTAAAGCAGCTCTGGGGGATGAGATGGGCTGGTCTGAAATGCATAATATTTGAGAAATGAGAAAGACATTAAAAAGTGGAGCCAGTCAGGTTCCAAGGAGGCCAGAAAGTCTAGTGGCAATGGGCATGGCTGGCTACAACAGTAGCTCCACGCTTCACCTCTCAGAGCTGTAAAATGAGAGCCATGGCAGCACCTCCCCAGATGGGGTTCCGGGCTCAGCACAGTACTGAACTAGGAGCACCCACTGTACATGGCTGTTACTAGCATCTGCACAGGGTAAAGTCATTCTGTCCCATTAAGCACGCATCAAGCACGTGGTGCTCTATACCTAATCTAACATTCAGTGCAGGATAACCCACTAACTCCCCTCTTTCAAAAGCTGTGCTAGCCTAAATCTCTCTTGCTGCGGAGTATATACATCTTTACAGAATCACCATAAATGATCTCTTCTTTAAAAGAATGAGGACAACTATTTGGACCATGCAGTCACAAATTATTTCAATCCAAAAATCATGAAGATTCAGGACAGTGAGAATACCAGATCATCATCAAACCTATCGTTCTGTTTCATTTTAATATTCATTAAGCCAGTGTTTTCACAAATATTCCCTCTGTGTTTTCTAATAAGGAATATCATTCTCTCTACTGAAAGATAAGGAAACATGAAACACAAAATTATTAGCTCAGTATCACAGGTGCCAAACATCAGATCCAAAGTGCCTTCATAGTCTCACTCCCCTTGGTGTTCCACAGGCAAGGATAATATCCACAAAGTAGGACAGACAGCTAAACAACTGTAGGGGTGGGAGGCATTAATTGATCTAAGCCTTCTTTATCTGGTTTCACTTTTTCCTTCTACCTCCTCCACTCATTAAAAAAAAAATCTACATTTCTTTCTTCAAAACATAGATCATTTGTGTGTTGAGGGAGCAGAGGGGAGGTCGTTTTAGATGTAAATAACACCGGGGCAAAAATGGTTTTTGAATGAATGGTTTTTGTAATCGATCATGTTTCTGTGCTTCTGTATTCAGAGTATCAAATCCTCCACTATATACATAGAGGGGAATGGGGGAGAAGGGGATAAATGATACAATAAGAAAACAAACTTTGGCCGGGCACGGTGGCTCACGCCTGTAATCCCAGCAATTTGGGAGGCTGAGGCAGGCAGATCATGAGGTCAGGGATCAAGGCCATCCCGGCCAACATAGTGAAACCTCATCTCTACTAAAAATACAAAAATTAGCTGGGCGTGGTGGCACGCATCTGTAATCCCAGCTATTCGGGAGGCTAAGGCAGGAGAATCACTTGAACCTGGGAGGTGGAGGTTGCAGTGAGCCGAGATTGTGCCACTGCACTCCAACCTGGGTGACAGAGTGAGATTCCACATCAAAAAAGAAAAAAAAAAAAAAGAACGAACTTTTCATCCCACAAAGAGAGGGCCCCTTGAATATCCCTCTGGTCAATTTGTCTCCAGCACCCAAGAAACCAAAAGCTATTACTTAGGCCACATAATTTGTGTCCACAGCCTGGCATCTTTTCCATCTGTCATCTCTTCCTTCTTATGTGTCTTCAGCACCACAGGGGCAGCTGCCAGCCCTCCACTACCAACCATCCAGCCACTCCAGCGGCCACCACCATCCTCACCACCCCACAACCTCCACCACTTTCACCATGCCTCCAACTACTATGACAGCCACATCCACCTACCTGCACTGCGTATGACTTTTCCCCATATCTGTTCCAATTTCCTCATTAACTTTTCAATCACCAGTCACATACTCCACCTGCAGCCCCTAAATCTGGCCCCAAAGTATTGCCACATCCCACTTAGCCTGTATTTGTCAACCAACATCTATCAAATACACCTAACAGCAACATCACAGCTTTTTGTTTCATCAGAAGATTATTTACAAAAATTTGTAAGTAATGAAGACCCATCCACTATGAATGTACTCAACATTCTGAAAGCAAATCTCTTTTACGGAGAAAAACAGTCCAAGTTTAAATCATCTTTGAGAACAAGGACACCACACAGGTGGTGATCTATAGAATGAAGCTTTCATGATTAAAGTAGGGTGAATCTGAAAGCACATACTATAAATCACCACATGGTAGCAACTCAGTCATAAATTTAGTTTAAAGCACAGTGTAGGTGTTTCTTTCCTAGTTTTAGCCCTAGAAAGTTCAGGCTACCCCTTTGGGACCCCAAACCTATAGCTACTATGCTTCCGATAAGTTTCTTTCAAGCCACCCAAGTTTCTAGTCAAAGCCAAACCTCAAACTCTTGTTTCTATCCTCTGTCCCCTATGACTAGACCTTAATAAAAAGTGTTCCTTCCTTAGAGTCTATCATGAGTTGAATCCCAACAAGGCAGAGCCAACCTGCCAGTTGCTCAGGTTGCGCACTGTCGAAGAGCACCATGTTTAAGGAGGCATCAGTCTCATCACAAGCATCTCTCTACTCGTTTAAAAGCTGTTCGTATTTTTATTAACACTTTGATGATTTAAAGATGGGTAATTTGATTATTTATATTACAATTTTCTAGCACATGGCAATAAAATGTCTTGTACTAAAAATCAGTATAGCTGAATAATTTCCCATCAGATGGAAGTGAAATGTCTTACAGAGGGGTGCTTTGGTCTGATTTGCACAAAGCGCCATATGGGCTAGCAGCAGCCTTCAGAAAAGCTTCCCTCAAACGTTTTAAGCTTTCTGTGGTCTTGGCTGTTCACTAAAGCTTCTGCTCTTAGTTTAATGGACTGTTTGCACTGCATTCACTTTTTTCCTCCCAATCTGGTCTTCTTCCCTCAGTAACTTCAGTTATCAAGCACATCCCCTACTTAAAGCTCATGTCCTATGTCTGTCCATTAATATTACTAAACACATGCTAACATGACCCTTTGTTACAGAAGATCAATTGCTATTAAGAGGTGTCAACTCTAAACACACCCTACCAATTTAAAATCACTAACACGTTACTTGAACTCAGTCAATATCTAACTAGATTCCTCACAGCTTTAAAAAAAAAATTAAGCTTTCATATAATTTATTTTCATTGACTTGTTTCATTAATAATATCACTTATTTAGAAAAAAAAAAAAAAAAAAAAACTACCACCAGCTATTTACCTTGAGTTTCAGGAAGTAAACAACATTTGAGAGACAATCACAGGCCCAAATCGAACGGAATAATAAATCAGGTAGAAATCCACATGAACTCACCCTGCTCGCCAGAAAATGAGTTTTACTGCCATTGGTGACAATGGGCCCTAGTAAACAATCCAGCTGTGGAAACCTTAAAAAGAAAAAGATATAGGAAAATTTAGAAGGAGAAAGATTCAGGAAGGCATAAACAGGAATTTCATTATAATAGGTCTTCTCACCAAAACATAAACTTAGTTCACAAGTCCCTGAATCTATGCAATAATTATACCACAGACTCTTCATAATTGGAGTTGCTTCATCAACTCACCATTTTTTCCATTAGCTGAGTGTAGGATTTTAGAGATACTTAATCTTATTTTCAGATTAATCCTCACTGGATTACATGACTTCAATTTTCTTTCTATATTAATCCCTCAAGTAGTTAATGATCTGCAAACTGATTCTTAAATACACCATATAAATGAAGTATCTTAAGGACTTAAGACAGAGCTTTTGTCAAGGGAAGAATACCTCTGTTATATGAACAATCATGTCCATTTTATAGATCTTAATTTTCATATTATGCACCAAATTTATACTGTCATGCTTATTTTCTTCTAATTCAGAAGCAATAAAAAAACAGAGGAACTATGAATCCTACACACAATATTAACGTTAATATTAATTAAATCATTAAGAAAACTTTAATTCAAAAAATCAGCAAAGAACTCTCTTCTCTAAATTGTCCAACAGGAAGACTAGTTACTAGTGGTAGAAAAGAGACAAATTTTCCTCCCAAATGTTACTGGCATATATACCACAGAATGGCTGCTATTAGTAGGTTGACTTATACAAAATTGCTGATTATTCAACCATTTTTTACCTACACACATGGCAATTTCATAATTTTACAAACAAAAAAAAATAAACAGGATTGAACACCCCGGTGATTATGAAACAACTACATTTTCTAAACTACCTGTTGCTCCACATACATCATTTTTCTGAGTAACATCAATGGTCTGGGTATGAGTAACTGATTCCATCCTAACTTACCATCAATGGTATCTAAAACATAAGAAAGGAAAGGAATGACCTCCAGCATTTGGAAGGGCTTATGTGTATCTTTTCAATTATTTCTTCCCACCCAGTCCCCCGTTTACTTCCAACCCCCTCGACTTCCCCTTTGCAACGTAAGACTCTTTTCCAAGAGCATAGATGTGACAGGAAGAAAAGCTAAGGGCTGGAAGACAAAAAGGTGAGAGGGAGCATGCTGATCTCCAACAGGGGCAGGTGAAAGGGAAAGCAGGCAAGAGCAAGCGAGGGACAAGATGCAGGGGGCAGACGGATGCAGGAATAAGATGCAGAGGGAAGCGTGCAGAAGAGCTGCCCACTAGCTCGGGACAGGTGTGGCCAGGGAGCAGCACCCCACACAGGTCCAAGCCCATGGGGCAATGAAGTGAACATTTACTTCTGTCTTGTAATAAATGCAGTAACCCATCTATTTTAGGACCTACCCACAACTACCACCACCAGCACAACAGCATCATAACCACCCCACAATAACGTTAACTCAAAGCATGTACAACGCTAATGGGAGTAAAAACTAGTGCAATCAAGGCCATTTGGGTACCCCAGGTACAGACAATTCACAAGTTCCCAAAGGACGTTTTCTTCTGAGAAGGAATAGAAAAGGGTTTAAATAATTTTCCCTCCCATCAGGAGACCCATTAAACCAGCAGCCTACTATAAATTGTTTTGTTTTTGCATGAAAGAGCAGCCAGCTGCCAAATGAACTTTTTAATCTCTTTTTAGTACCACCCATTTCTCATTCCCTATTTTTCAGATTAATTATGTGAGGATAAGATGGAGGATTAAAATCAGCATTCTGTGACATGGTCACAGAACGGTGGTGACAAAGTCAAAGTTGATATGCTAGATGAAACCTGTCATTTTGTTCACATCCAATCAGAATCTTAAAAACACGTAAGACCATGAAATGAAATGCAAGCAAAGTAAATCTGACATTCAGAGGCACTCTGTGTTGTTCCAATAGCGACTTTCCCCTTTAAACAGAGATATTTGGATCTACCGTGGATCACTACAGGGTTGAAGGTAAACGTATCAATGATGGCAGTGATAGTACTAATTGTAACAGAAAAAAAAAGAAAAGAAAATTGTCATTATTATTATTATGGGTACGGTCATAGATAAAGAGCTGCAAATAGAACAGCTCTGAATTAATAGACCAGTTGGAATTATACTTCACGTTGTGGAATGGAGTTAGAAAGTGACTTTATGTTAACATGGAAATTAAATAAGAGTGTGAACAAAATTAAGGAGTACTGGCTAAAGTCTGTGAAGTAGATATATACATGTGTAGAAGATGTCAGGTACCATTTCAGTGAGGCCAATCTGTGAAGAGCAACCTAAGAACCAACTGGGCAACTTCAAACAGAGTAGCCTGAGGCCACTGGTAATTACCACTGTGATCAGACTAGGGTCTACAAGACCATCGGCCAGAAAACAGTACATGGAAGCTGATGTAAGAGGCAGAAAGAGCTGATGTTACCGAATGGCCCAGAGTCCTAGACGAGAGTTGAGGACGTGAACTCTACACATTGGTATGCAAACCCAAAACAGGTGGCTGCATAATAACCACGGAGAGAATTTGTTAAACATAGATTTGTTAAACATAGATTCCTGGACACCACCCTGAGGCTGATTGTTGTGCTCCAACAATTTATATTCTTGAAAGCTTTCCCTGGGTACTGCTGCAGCACAACTACATTGAAGAACAGGAGCTAGGGCAACAGATGGACACTACCAGAGAAGCAGTCTCTCGATTCAGCAGGAGTCTGAGCTGGACCATCAGGTATGCTTCATATACTAGTTCACTTAATCTTCATAGCAACAGCCTGAGTAGATTTCAATCACCCAATGTTGCAGAACAGGAGACTAAGGGAGCAGATCTGAAAGCTCAATAACTTGCCCAAGGTAACAATGCAAGAAAGATCAAATCCCACCTCATCACTTACTTCTTGAAGCTCTTCTATGGGTGTTCACTGTCAAATATGAAATGCATTGTATATAAATTGACTGTATATGTATGGATCTAATTCCAGTTCGTAGTCAATTCCATTAATCTATTTGTATAACTTAACAACTTAGCATAAATACCACACTGTCCTGATTAATGTAGCTTGATAATAAATCTTGAACTCAGATTAAAAAAAAAAAAAAAGAAAAAAGAAAAAAGGAATGCATTCTAAAGCCCCTTGCAGGTGCCCTGGAATAACATGGCCCTCAACTCCAGCTCAGCCACACCACCCTTTCAACCAACCATTCCTGCTCCATGTGAACCAAGCTATAAGCAATCGCCTGGGCAGTGCTGTTGCAAGCCTCCTCACTGCCCTTGCTCCTGCCTCCTCCTAGAACGCCTCTGCTCTCATCTACCTCCTCTTCCAAGATGGAGCTCAGACCTCTCCTCTTTGCAAAGCCCTTCCTGAACACCATCAACTCTTTCCTAGCTAGAAATGACCACTGCCTTCCTTGGGTCTTGCAATAATTAGCACAATAAAAGATGATACTTCTCTCCAGTATTCATATGCCTGACCCTATGTAGAAATAGACTATGATTTTTGAGAACAGATGTCAGTAAATATTTTAAGAATAAATAAATGCAGCGCTAGAGCCAAAGCCAGAATCTGAATCTGGATCCAACTCAAAACCAGTATACCATGCTGCGTCTCTGAAAGCTCTGCATCTACTTTCATGAAAATCACTCTTAACATTGTCAAGACAGTAGCCACTCAGCAAGGGGTGGCCAATGAACACTTGAAATGTGGCTAGTCTAAACTGAGATGTGCTCTAAGTATGAAATACATTATTTTGAGGATTCAACATGAAAAAATGTAAAATATTTCCACATGAAGAATGATATCTTAAATATTTCAGGTTAGATAAGACATATTAAAATTAATTCCATGTTTTTTGATTTTTAAATGCAGGTACTAAAAAACAGAAGATTACATATACAGCTCACGTTATATTTCTATTGAACAGAAATATACCCTATAAAGTATGCCTTAACTCTTCCTTATTAATAAATCCATTAACATGATGCTCAGCATAATTTAACCTTTCTGAATGACATAGAGCCAGAGCATCAAAGACTGTATTGCAGTGCTGAACAACATGGCCCTGCTAAGCACACAGAGTTTGTCCCGACACCTAAAGCTCACAGAATATTGCTTTCAGAGTTCCACTGAGCCACTAAGCTTCTACTCTACTATAGCTGCTGGCACTTCACATGTAACTCCTCAGGTTTCTTATCTTCCAATCTAGATATTTTACTGAAATCTGAGCAGGACCAGGACAAGGCAGAGCACCTGCCTTGGGGAGAACTAAAACTCCCATAAATGAAGATAAACAATTTATTAAATAACGGCTTTACTGATAATGTAGCACAGATACCATAAAATTCATCATCTTAAAAGGTGCAATTCAATGGTTTTTATCATATTCACAAGGTCATGCAAGCATTGCCACTATCAAATTCCAGAACATTTTCATCACCCCCCCAAAGAAACTCATACCATTAGCAGATACTCCACAGCCCTCCTTAGCCCAGCTCCTGACAATCAATAATCAATTCTGTCACTTGAATTTGCCTATTCTGAACACTTCACATAAACAGAATCATATAACATGTGGTATTTTGTGTCTGGCTTCTTTCAATTAATAAAATGCTTTCAAAGTTCGGCCATATTGTACCAGAAATCGATACTTCATGCTTTTTATGGCTGAATAATATTCTATTGTATGAATACACCACATCTTATTTATCTATTAATCAGTTAATGGACATTTGGATTGCTTCCAGTTTAAGGCTACTATGTACACATTCATGTGCCAGTTTTTATATGGATGTAAGTTTTCAATTCTCTTGAGTATACACTTAGGAATAGAGTTTCTGGGTCATGTTGTTACTCTAGGCCTATAATCTGAGTAACTATCAACTGTTTCCCAAAACGGCTGTACCATTTCACAGTCCCACCAGCAGGTATCAGGGCTCCAACATTTCCACATCTTCACCAACACTTAATTTTGTCTTTTTAATTTTAGCCATCTTAGTAGATGTGTAGTGATAT